AAGGTTCATGGGAGGGCATTGCATTTGTAGGTTAGTACTCTACAAATTATCTTACCCAATGCAGGTCTTGTAGACTTGAAGCAGGACCTTCGAAGAAATGGGTCATTTATTTTACAAGCTTTATTACTTCATTCCTGGTGCCGGTTAGGCAGATTGAAACTAGGCTGAGAAGTCCGAGGAACTCCTGTGGCTCTGCAGTCATGCTCTGGTTTTTAAGTAAATGCTTTTTGGAAACTTAGGGAAGGGTGTGGTGGAGAGGGCGAAAGCAAGAGCTAGCACTGAGCACCCCCTCTCCCACCCCCACCCCCAGAGCTGGCCATCCTACTCAGAAAATGGTAAGGTCTGCAAATTGAGATCAGACCTCAGGAGCTGTCAGGTTCAGGGTGCGTCTAAGTTTGAAGGGATGTTTGCTTCTGATATGAACATTTTTCTTATACTTTTATTATAGAAGATGATGTGTCAAATGTACAAATAATGTGTGCCTGGTGCCAGAAAGTGGGAATCAAGCGCTATTCCCTGAGTATGGGAAGCGAGGTGAAAAGCTTCTGCAGCGAGAAGTGCTTTGCAGCCTGCCGGCGAGCCTACTTCAAGAGAAACAAGGTAAGCCGCCTTAGAGGGGCGCCCCGCGGCCTCCCACCATGTGCGCATGCGCCTCGTAGACTCAGCCCAAGCCGCGCCCCCTTTCCCTTTTGTACTTTTATTCCTTGTTTTGTCCGTTTTCTTCCTCTGTCATGCTCAACTTTTTGGAATAAGGAATCCCTTCTAACGTGTAACCTTGTTCTTCAGTTTCTCTTGGCTTGGTGTTTGAATTCTGAGAGGGTGAATGAATCTGACGGGGACCCCTGATCACAGCTGGTGTCCTCATCCGCAGTCTTTTCAGTAGCAGAGGGCAGTCTAGAGCCCACGAAAGATTAAGTGGTAGCAACGTCTTCCTAGAGCTGAGAAACTAGCCACAGAAGCATGGCCAGAAAGCTTTAGTCCACCCAGTTTAATTCTTACTCTCAATGGGTATACTGCTGTTGCTCTTTCCAAACTTGACCCACAAATTCTAGTCAGGAAAAACGTCACGTCTCCTTGACACTCTATGTTAAAGTTGATTAATCTTGACAAAAGGGGAAATCATGAATACATAAACCAACATTGCTCACACCACCAAGTATTTGTGAGAAGCATGCTGGGTAACACAGGGACAGCCATAGTTATAGTTTTTATTTTGTTTTAAAAGACATCCTAGGTCTGAAGATGACCTTTTCCAATATTATTAGCCACCATCAATGGGAAATGGGATGCAAGATGTTTTTCACACACACACACACACACACACAAATTTTCTCTTTCTCTCTCACACACATACACTCTCTCTCTCAACAATTGTTTAATCTTTAAAGAAATGCTATAACATTTTGCCACCAAGTATTGATGTTAAATGCTAGTCCTTGATTATTTTTCATTGATCTGTGAAGCTTCCTTACTTCATAAAACAGTACATTTTGTTAAGCATTTTCCTTTCCATAATACAAAATCAAAATCAGTTCTTTCTTGAAGCAAACAATTATTATTTTTAAAAAGTCTAATGTTTGCCATTCTGAAATGCTAACCATGGGCTTACTGCATTGCAAGAAGCACTGTTGCAGCAAATTATCTGCTGCAAATTTGGGTCACATTCATTCTGCCAAAAACATAATGCCTAAAGAATTAGGCTGCAGAATTCAGTGGGGTGGAATTTTAGTAGCAGTCTTTAAGAATTAGGCTCATAATCTTCACTGGAACATGGAGTCAAGTAAGGAAATTGTCTGGAATTCTTTGGGGATGGTCAACAGTCGAGTTCACTTTCCCTTGGGAGGGGCCAGTGAATCTGGGGAGGAGGGTGAGAAGAACATGCCTGGGAGACACGTTTTGTTTTAATATAGGAGGATTAAAATGATCTCCAAGACCCTGGGGCTCCCATTTTGAATGCTGAGCGCTGGAGTAACAATCCCAGGAGTGGGCCCAGAGCTTTCTTCTTCAAAGCCCTACTTACCACAACAAAATACTTTGCATTCCATCCCAGAAGATGGCTATAGAACAGGGCTTTTTGTCTTCTATAATTCTGAAGGGTTAAGGTTCTGAATCTTGATGAGCTGCTTGTAGTGAATGAAATCAAGCAAGATGTATTTGTCACAACCCTGATGACACATATGACACTTTGCAAAGTGATTTACTTTATAGTAAGCCTTTGAAGAAAGGCACCTGATACCACTTGGAAAAGCAGTCCAGAATACTATATAATGTATAGGCTTTTTTTTTTAAATCATTATGATGCTTAAGGTCAAACCGAATTCAAACTTTCATAACATACATTTTTGAAAAATAGATGATTTGGAGCCAAGATAAGAATGAGTATTTAGAGTACTTACAGTAGGTAAAATCAACAGTGGGAGGAGGAGCTTGACATTGCACTTCTCACCAGGAGTTACTGGGGTAGGTCTTAGGACCTCTTGTAAGGTCTGGGAGTTGCATTGGTTCGATATTTAAACAGCGACTTGGCTGGCTGATCCTAGTAGCCCATTAGTGTACATATAATATGACACTTCTCTGCAATTTTCACTCTTATTTATTATGTATTGCAAAGCTCTGCCATGGTATGCATTTTTAGTTTTTTCAAATAGAGAAATAAACTTGTCATATCACCTGCTGGCTTCTTTTATTTTTTGTTTTATAATTTTAAAAGTGTTATCTCTGCTACAATATTATATTGTATTACAAGAAACATGTACAGCTGCTGCATTTCTGTTAACTGATAGGATTTTGTGGTCATTTCATTTAGGGCTTTGGTTTCATAATGGATTGTATTAGATACCAGTCTCCATCCTGCCATTTCTAAGAACTGCTATAATAAGCCCCAGAGTGTTCCCTCCTGAAGACAATAGCAAATAGCTATGTCTCTTGTATCATTTAACGAAGTCCTTAGTCCTCCTTATTAAAATTGTGGACTTAGAAAAAGGGAAAAATTCTTCCCACTCCTATATTACAGTTTTTTTTTTCCTATCTAAATTCTATTCTTTTGTATATTGAGAGGTAGATGAAAAACAGAGTGTGTGCAGAATAGAATTTTGTCTTAGGTATAGTGTTGATATAAAAAATGTAAAATTAACTATGCTGTAAATTATGCTTTATAATGACAGCCCATTTCATGCTGGATAGCATGCTGGGATCTAAAAATGGTCTCTAAGTTGAACCCAAATTACGTGCATAACTTTACAAAGAAAAATCCTAGTAGAAAAGGTAGCTAATTAGGAGCAGTGTTCAGCTGACCTCTGTTTTGTGTCTGAGCAACACCTGCATTTGTGAATACAAATGGGACAGCTGTGCCTGTGGTCCTGAGCTCTCTTCCTCACAAGTGCTCAGCTATAGAAGCAGGCATTGCTTTGCTGCTAAAAATAAGGACAAAAATAGCCCAACTCTCAAAATAAAGGCCCACTGAAAATGGGCTCTTTAAATTTCATTTGCTTCTCAAACCTTCCCTTTTCTTTGGGGCTCTGTACATGGTGAATGGAGTAGGTTGGAAAAAATGTCACATCCATCTCTCATAAACCCTAGCATGATGAAGTAAGGTGGAATAAATGGAAGCCAAGTTAACCCTTTATGGCATGTAGGTTATATTTTTCAACAGAATTTAAAATTGATTTGAAGAGGTGTTTGGATTGTCACAAGCATGTAGACTTTTTTCAAATTGCTTCTGCTGAACACTGCTGGGAGAAGCCTGTGAATCACAGCTGTATTTGCCCAAGGAATCTAACTGCAAGTTTACACATTTCAGGATATTGACTCTTAGAAGTGTATATTGTTAATGCATAATATATTTTGTAGAATACTTCTTTCCAAAAGGTTAAATTGCTAGCTGAAAAGTTTTGAACCAGTGGGTTAAACAAAAACAAAAACTCCTGTAGTCTTCCGGCATTGGGTGAACAATGGGATGCCCATCTCAATATTTGAGGCACTAGAGACTTTTCAGGGGACTAGCCCTTTTTGAGGCCACAGAAGAGCAGAACTTGAGAATATTTTTAGCCTAGTGATTCATCTAGGAGTTGGAAAGTTGCAAGTCTTCTTAAAGGGTTTGCAAGAGATGCAAAAGCATTTAGTCCAACTTTGAAATACCAGTTTTACTTTGCACAGCAGATGCTTAAACATATTCTTTGTAACTATCTTTCTCTAAAAGAAAGGAGAGTAACAAATAAGACCACAAATAGTAGCCACTTCCACACAGCCTATGTTTGATCTTTTTCCTTTTGCATGGGAAATATTCTGTTGTCTAAACTAATATCCAGAAATCAAACTGGAAGTCTAAGTGCAAGAAAAATGGCCAAAGCAGGCAAAGTAAAGGATGATCATCAGCTTTCCATGTCCAAATCTCAAGTTTATAGTGTTCTCTAGAGATGAATAACATTGATAATTTAGTAATAAACAAATTCCTGAGAGCATCAAAGTTTTGTTTAATTCTGGTTTTCTTGTGATTTTAAACAGGAATAGTTAGAAATACTTCTTCAATATCACAATGTTGCTATTCCCAATAGACCATAATGGAAGAGCCTTCCATGAATATATATAGAGATGAGGACATGGGTGCATTAAAAACAAAAATTATATAAACAGAAATAACATTTGCAAATGATGGTGCCATTAAGATTTTCTAACAATCACTGTAATAATAACAACTTCTTAATGAGAAGAATATTGAATAATAAACATTTATTTTACTTTCAAACTATATCCCTGGATACAAAGTAATCTCTTATTTAAAGAGATCTCTTTTGGAGGAAGCCATCACTAATTAGCATGTATCATCATATTATTTGGAGTTATATTTTATTTAATCATAGGCTATTTGTCTTTTTATTAAACTTGAACATATCCTGGGAAAGACTTCTTGGTTTCAGACTTAATTATAGAACCTAGTAGTGCAGAAGAAATGTGTAACAATTGCCCTGTTAATCTAGTGATTAACCTGTCTACTTTTTTCCTTTAAACACCTGCAAGATTTAATTTACAAAATGGCTATCATTCATGAAGGTTTGGGGAAGGACATTAAGAAATTACTTGCAATTAATGTCCCCTGACCGCCTGAAGCTCAGGCTGCAGACTTGCTTTTGCCAGTTGTTTGTGAATGTCTTTGGTCCAAAAAGTACGTGAACCCAGGGCGCCCCAGGGTTCTTGCAGTGGATTCACCTTGTTTGTATCAGGCACCAGAGAACTATTGGGTCTGTCTTTCTATACCTTGGACTTCAGGACAAGGCCTTGGTTTTGCAGTGTCCTTTGAAATTGTGCTGTAGGTCTGCCCACAGTCTTGTGTGTAGAGTGGCCTCCTCCTCCTGAGCATTCTTCTGCAGGTCAGTGGCTGAGTTCCCTTTCAGGCAAGTAAATAGGGGAGTCCTTAAGAAGCTCTTGGGAGAACAACAACAAACCCAATAGTTATCTTGATCTGTCCTGTTAGAAAATATGAAATGGAATATTGGTGTGCTGCTGGGAAAAGTAATGGCAGAGGAGAGGGAAACATTTGCCTTTGGAAATACATTTTGGGGAGGGGGTTAGAACGGGAAAGTTCTGGAAGGGAAAGTAAAGTG